AAAAAAAAGAAAAAAAGTGTATAACTTTGTAAACTAGTATATATCCTTTTTTTTTTATTTCTGTGTCAATTACTTTGTTTGGGTCTCGAATCTTGACTCATTATGAATCATCTCGTTGAAGTTTACAGAACATTTGACAGTTCATGGATAGAAACGATGTTCAGATTCTATCAAATCTATCTCTACTCCCTCCATGTCGGCTCACTGTAACCGTGATGTCTTTTATCGTCGTCCGGTGAAATCGTCGGTTTATATTTGGGCATTTGGGTGATTGTGCAACCAATGCGTTTCTTCTTTATGATTTATAAGATATGTTCAATATTTCTGTGAGTTGTTCTTTTTGAAATTCAGAATTGAGCCTCTTGTTTCGCTTTTTACTATATGATATGAAAATGAAACCTAAGATAATGAATCACTCTATGGATGTTACAACCATGAGTATTGGAAACACATTATATGGAACATTCAAACTTCAGTCATGCCAATGACAAAACATAGCACATCAACATTGAAGAGTTCTTGGGTTATGAAAACTAAAGTGCTTCTCTCTCTGGAGAAAGATACAACATACTATGAGGAACACAGACGGATGATCATGGAAGATAAATATGTGTGTTAATGCTTCAACGACATTGTCCATAGATGGAGATGCAACAAATGCATATTTCTTTATGGAAATTAAAAAATTGAAGAACCAGAAGAAAAACAAAGTCATCGCTTTTCAAAATGATCGTGGAAGATAAATACGTGTGTCAATGCTCAACGACATTGTCCATGGATGGAGATCCAACAAATGCATATTTCTTCATGGAAATTAAAAAATTGAAGAACTAGAAGAAAATCAAAGTCATCGCTTTTCAAAATGATATTATACAAAAGTTTTGATACCAGAATATTGACATTTTAGAACAATTGCCGAAAACAACGGATTTTATCAGGCTGGGTACAATTTGGAGGTTTAATCAAGAAAAGCTACTCTCATGAACACAATTCACAACATAGTAGGATTGAAGACGAAGACGAAAAATAACGGATTTAACGTTCTATTAGCGAGTAAAGCTTATCTATGATACGCATCGTAAAAGTTACTTTTTTGGTGTATCTTTCTCATTATATGACACAGATATCTGCTGATGTAATTTGCTTTATGAAAGTCTCCATCATTATCTTAAGTAACTTCTTAAAGAATATCTAATATTCAAATCTTGATTTAAACAATAAATTAATTCAGATTTATATGTTTGTTAAACCAAGACCAAACCATTTGTTGGTTTATGACAATCAAAATCTCGCTTAGCATATAGGTTTTTATTGATTAAATTAAACCAATCAATTCTTTTATGTTTATATGATAAATTAGCTGACTCTCCCGCGTATACGCAGATAATTTATTTATAATTTTTACTTGAATTTTACAATTTTACCTTTTTTTATTTAGAAGTTTGTATTTATAATTTTCTTTTTTTTATTAGAGACATTGTTGTTGATATTTTGTTATAAATTTTTTTTGTTAATAATATAATTTTTGGAAGTTTAGTTTTACCATTGCATTATTTAATATACGTAAACGTATCAAATAAAATATATATAATAATTTAATATATTGGAATAAAAAATCTATTATCAAAAGTTGAGATTCTTTTCATTAAAGATTGAATCTCCTATTTGATCATTTTTTTAATATATCATTTTATTCACATTGAATTTTGATTAAAAACTGAATTCGACATCGAAATATGAAAAGATTGATGTGAGCAACTTTTCGTAAGCAAAAATATTAATAAATTTTTCATACAACATAAACCAAGTACACTACGTTTTCCTCTTCTTCTTTTTTCCAAACTTTTGTTGTTTCCTATTTTTATTATTGTTAACGTCTCTTACATTTTTCATATTTTGTTAAAAAAAAACGATTTAGAGATCAATTTCATTCATTGAATG